CTTCCTTCTGCTCGGCTGAGGCTGCCGAGCGGGCCAATGGCGCCTGCCTGCTGTTTATTTCAAGATATCCATCTCCTGGAATCTCTCACATCCAGGAGGAGGAGGAGGAGGAGGGCTGGAGGGGGCAACCGTGGAGGCATGCTCGGGACATGACGAGAACATGAATCAGCTCCAAAGTGCCAGGGCAGGAGTTGGACAAGACAGAGGAGGGGAGAGCTAAGGGAATGAAGGGTGTCACCAGCAGTGGGGAGGGAATCAAGACCAACGAGCTAGACGCACGCACCCTCCCACACATACCCAAAAAGCATGGACACAAACTCCTAGGGTGGTACTCAGGAAAAGAAATTTTTAAAAAGAAGGAAATCTAGGATCTCCCGGTCAAACTGTTTGTGCGCAATCACGGCAATCGCAGAAATGTCGTGCAGCCCAGGATCACAGGATCAAAGCTCCAAGACCTTCTGAGTGGCCAGACCTCTGGCATCATCTGCCACTGTCCTGAGGCTCCCCTTTTTTCTCAGAGCTGGGCTGCGATCTTCACAGTTGCTGGGAGAGGAATGGATTTGCCCAGGAACAGTAAATGGCTACATGGCTAGAGACGGGCACGAACTGAGCCACGAACTGGGCTGGTTTGGGGTTCGGTTCAGGGTTGGGTTTGGGGGTCCTGATTTGTCAAAATGAAACGAAGTGCCAAACGTTTTTCCATTCAGCACTTCGTTTTGCTTTGGCAAAATGGGACACTTCCCCCTTCCCCCTGTCCCCATCACCTCCCTACGTTGTCTTGAAGCCTCCATCTCCTTCAGTGCTGCTACCGCCGTCCAGAGAAGCAGCAGGCTGGGCTCCTTGCACAGAGTGGGGCTTTCTGCCTGTGCACAGGCATCCACCTATCAGCTTCCCCGCCCCCGGCACGAACCCAAAAAGCAAACACTGAACCGGTTCGTGGGTAGTCCCGAACCACAAACCATCATCAACCAATGGCTTCCCGGTTTGTGCCCAACAGAAAGAGTGTTTAAGTGGGGTTTGCTCTTGAATGAGTTTTGCAGAAGACCTGGTCCTTATTGTCTGATACAGACCAGTCCAGCTGTCTACTTTTTGGACTCTCCTGTGAGAGGGGGGCTGGCCCATGATAAGCATCCGCACTTCCAAATTTACCACTACGGCCCATGAGTAACTGGTGCCCACTGCAGTTGGTGAGGTGGAAGGCACAGCAGCAGTGTGCACAGCCAGGGACGGTGGATAGAGCCCAAGGCAAAAATAAGGTGTTCAGACACAGGGGAAGATAGAGGGGGTAAACAAGCATCCACAAGCGGGCTACAGTCTAGAGACAGGCAAGAATGATTTGTCTGCGGTGAGTCTGTGCCTACCCTGCAATATCCTTCAGATCAACTGCTTTACTTGTTGCTATCAAGATAAGAGATGTAGCTTCCCTTCAAGGAAGGTTGTTGTTGAAACCTGTAGGGCACATCCTCTCTCTGTAAATGCTCGTCCCTGAGCATCCAACTAAGGCAAGGGTGGGCAGAATTCAGCATGTCAGATGTTGCTGGACGGACACTCCCAGCATTCCTCCCTTTGGGAGTTGTAGTTCGATGGTATCTGTAGGGCTAAAGCTTTATTTGTTCTTTGTACTTTTTTAAAAAAAACTGAGAGCCAGCAGATCTCTGACTGGATCGCTATTGTCTTTTTTTCTGTATGTTAAAGCAACATAATTTGGATCCGCAAGATTATGCAGCTGGATATGGAGGCAGCAGTCTTCATTTCCACTCATAGCAATTGCCTGATTTAAAACCCACCACCTTTCAAGCAGGTATCAACCTGGCAAGGTAGGGTGGAGAGAAAGATGTGGTATCTAAGGACCAGACAAAAAACATTGACTGGTATTATACAACAGATACAAGTTTTAGCCAAAACTACTACTACTACTACTACTACTTCTTCTTCTTCTTCTTCTTCTTCTTCTTCTTCTTCTTCTTCTTCTTCTTCTTCTTGCGTTATGCCCCACACTTATGAATCTCATACTTAGTATCCTTTGTTTTCTGATTGGCTATTGAAAGGCAAGCACAGGCTTAATTTGCAAGCCTTATAGCATGGCTGAAGAAATCCTGCTGTGGGATCAAAAGCAAGTTCATCAAGTTACTGCTGGACATAAGGGGCTTGTTGTTGTTCTGTGCTGGTTTAGGACTCTGGAGACTGAGGTTCGAATCTCCACTCAGCCATGGAAACTCATAGGGGTGTGAAATTGCTAAAATCACTCCTTAAATATCTCACCTTGAAAGCCAGGATAAGGTTGCTATAAATTGGTTCCAGCTTGAAGGCACAAAACAATAGTTAAAATGCAACAGTGACCCCAGATAACTTGTTGAACAATGTTTTAGTAGCATCAACATTATTCGTTACAGTAAAAATTTATGAATTGTCATTATGTTACTTCCCCCAAATCAAAGTCATTGTGTCCACATTCCCTGCAGTCTAAAATGTGATGAGATGGGTAACAACGTTGTGTTTTTTTTCCACAAGCTCTGTGTACATCCTCAATTCCACCATATGGGTCACTTTTCTGTGAGCACCTGTGGAGGGTTAATGTGGGACAGGCAGTCATCAGAAAGATGTTGTCTGAGAGATGATATCCTCTCTCACCAGTAATTTTTATCTGGTACATTATTCCCAGTCCATCCAGTTAAGCAAGTGGGGTCCCTCTGGAACCAGGAGCTGAGCAAAGCACTAACTGGGGACAGCGTTTTCTCTCTTTTCTCAATGAAATACTGTTGTCCCAAAAAAGGAGAAGCACGTTTTCTTTGGGGTTTTTTAATGCCTTCAGAACTATTAAAAAGAAGCCGTAGTAGCATGACCTACAGTAAGCAAAGTTTCAACTGTGTGTTTATCGGCTTGGTCCCCCGAGCCTCTCAGCACAAACAGACCACCCACAGGAAGGCCTCAGAAGGTCTTGTGTAGACTCCAGGTTTCCCTCCCTGTCTCTCTGTTTGTGTGTGTGCATCCGTGCCAGAGCGGATGGATTGACTAGGTTAGGGACCTGCTGTCAGAGGGCGGTGTTGTCTATTTACGACACAGCCCCAGAGAATAGCTAAACAATTTTTATTTCGGTGTTTATAATTCCACGCTGGCGGAAGGCTAAAATAGAAGCTAGCGTATTGCTAGTGGGTTTAAAACAGCAAACCGTACTGGCAGACAGAAAGTAGGGTTTTGGTTTAAGTAAACATATGGATAGGACAGGCTGGCTGCAAGATTCTGGGACATATAGTCTGCAAAAGTCATTTATCTAAGCGCTAGGATCACGCCTCCCAATTCATTCATGCTTCCCAATCTGATTTTTCTATTGAAATGTTTATCATCTCACTTTTCTCTCTCTCGAAATGTGAGGGGTTCAAAACGATTCTTCAGGTTCTGCCTACATAGGTAAATAGTACTACAAGATGTCCTGCAGTGGTAGAACAGATGCATTTGTATTTTTTACAACTGATCACATGATACAAAGGCCAACGCCCTTTTCGCTTCCAAAGTGGAGGGTTTTAAATTAATACTACCATGTTTAGCACTAGATTGTCTTGTCACTGCATTGATACATTAGTTTAGTGTTAGATCGTCCCTGCATGGACAAAAAGGGGAAAAATTGATATGAAATCAAAACAGCTCCAACAAACTACAGCAGGCTGTGTGTGTATGTGTTTGCATGTTACGGAGAATTTTGGAAAACCTCCGTTTTCCCTAACACTGTGCAACCAGGTAGAAAGAATACTGACAAACCACAGCAGACTACGATGCGTCCCCGGGATCTCTGTATGCGTTTGTATGTTACAGAGAACTTTAGAAAACTAGCCTGTGTAGTTGCAACCTTAGCATGAGGAAATAATAATAAAGAAAACAACAACAACTCAAGAAACAATAAGCAGGAAATTAGAAAACCAGTTCTGTAATTTAGTGAAAAGAAATCTTAAGCCCTAGTATGATTTTTCAGGATTTTGTTAATATAAGCGCTACCCCCAAAATAAGCCCCAGTTAAGTGAAAGCCCGCCCCTCCACCCTTGTGCAGCAACCAGAAGAAGATGATGTGATGGTATTTGATGGAGGACAAGGAGTGTGAAAACGAGAGTTGGGGCTTTGCATGCAGATTAGAACCTTGATTTTCTAGTGCTCGAATTCATGAGGATAGTCCTGTAGACACAGATATTCCTTCCCATCAGATCCAGTGCCTTCCACATGTGAAGGGGAATTGAACTGGAGATGGGTGTGTGTGAAAGTGACATGCTCTCCTTCCTTACAGGTTGACTTACTTTAATTTCTTAATTCCTAAATAGGACTCCTTTTATGGTTATTATATTTATTATTGCTATGTCCTATTATTATTTTTTCCCTGTTTATTTAATCATTCCTTCAGTGTCAAATGTTTGCACACATGAGCATGTTTATGGAGCCAAGACGGCACCAACCATACATAAGAAATATCAGCAGGCTTTGTCCAGCCCCATGGGCTGTAGAAGCACAAAAGTACATTGTGGGGCAGGGAAGGACTAATCCCATAAGAGGAAGAACCTCCCTCGGGGGTTCAGTGAGACTTGAGGTTACCCAATGGCCATCAAATGCTGATTGACTTCTCAGAAGGTGTGGGATGAATAATGGTGTAGAGCAATGGTTCCCACCTTTGGGTCTGCAGGTGTTCTTGGACTGAAATCCCCAGAAGCCTTCACCACTAGCTGGGCTGGCCAGGATTTCCGGGAGCAGCAATCCAAGAACATCTGGGGGCGCAAGGTTGGGAAACACTGGAATAGAGTATCACCGAGGAAAGCATGCCAGAGTGACTACAGCACCCAGTGGACATCTCCACCCACCATGGAACCTTGTTTCCCCTTATCAATAACGGTGGGACAACTTGAGATAGACCTTCATTTCCAATGCATAGAAAGAATGTGTTACAGACGTTTCGACGTGCAATAATTTATTCTCTCTTTTACCTATCTTTCTCCTGCTGTCTGTTCTTTCTCCAAAATTAGGTACATCTGACTTGAGCCCGTTCTCTGATCCACGCCAGTTTGACCGGTCCTTTTCTGCAATATCAGGCCTCACAGAGACGAGGTTTTCAGACCCTCGGATGCATTACCCTGGTGCAATGCCGGCAGCCTTCCCTTACACAGCCACGCCATCGGCCACAGGAATTGGTGGCATCAGCATGTCCAGCATGCCTACTGCCACTCGGTTTCATCATACCTACCTTCCTCCACCATACCCTAGTTCCACCCAAAACCAGAGTGGACCGTTCCAAACCAATCCTTCCCCATACCACTTATACTATGGTACCTCCTCCGGGTCCTACCAGTTCTCCATGGTGGCGGGGGGAGAACGCTCACCGACGAGGATGCTCCCTTCCTGCCCGAGTGCATCAGCGGGAAACAGCTTGATTAATCCCAGCCTTACCAATCAGAATGACGGCGTTGAAGCGGATGGTAGCCACAGTAACTCGCCTACAGCCATGACCACCACAGGCAGGATGGATGAAGCTGTCTGGAGACCATATTGAAAAGGGACGAGTCAATGAGGCACCTTCAGCTTTAAGTGAATTAAAATGCCCAAATGTGTGCTGTGTTGGTTGCTTGTTGAAAAGAGTGGGTCATTAAAATGAGTCACAGCCGAATGTGCTTTTCCCAGAATGCATCACAAAGTCTGATGGATCTTATACAAAATATAGGTGATTAAGTTAATTAAGCAATGATTGACTGGAGATGGGCTGAGCGTTGTATACATTTCAAGACAAAATCCTCGCCGCTCTTTAAGATCCCCTTTGACCAATGATCTGTTATGTCTCAAATGTACATAGAAATGTAAGGAATAGAATTGCTTTAATCTTTCCCAAAGATATGGTGGAATGTGAATCAGTCCTAATCAATCATCTCAACGGCCATTATATATATACTGTATAATGGTGAATGAGCAAACTATAAAAGTGCATAGCTCTCCATATACCAGAACTGGTTAGAGAGCTCTACGAATCCAGGTCAAAATGAAGCTAAAAACCGAACAGCATCATGTTCTGCACCAAAATATTTCTGCTATTCAATGGTAGAATCAGGAAGAGATAAGAAACCCTTGTCTCCAAAGCCATTTGGGTTGGTGGAATGGGAATCAAATGGGCCTCGTCCCCCAGCATGATAAGTTCTCTTCCACAAGCTACATATAAAATGAAGAGAGCTGCTGTTTGATGTAATGAGACTTGTGCAGAAGAAAAAACACAACATCCCAGTGAATTATATCTGGGGCTTATGTGTGTTGGGTTGAGGTACCGTTTTCGATTTCTGATTTCAGACCACGAGGAAGACAAGATGACCCTTTAACCAGCATTCCACACTCCCAAATTTTGAGTGAGTGAGAAATCTAGGCATGAAAATAGGTGCTACAACAGTGAAAGACTTGTTGAAACTCTTCAGAAGAGACTTGTGGGTTTGGGCTAGAAGTTAGAATTCGAAGTTCCTCTTTGGGACTACAGCTTCCAGGCTTCCTCATCCAGTGTAGCCACTCATTTTTCCAAGCTCTCAATTAAGGTCTACCCATCCTGTTCCTCCTGATCCCAGTTTCTCTTGCAAGGTTACACATTCATGACCAGTTGCCATATAAGTCACTGCCCCAGGGCCATAGATCGAATTCTCAGTGAGAACGTAAACTTCTGCATATTGGTAGGATTCTGGGATCTGCGTTTTGACTTTTCCCAGAATCCCCCAGGTGGATTCTAGGATTTGTAGTTCAGCAAAGATCTGGATCTAGGTAGCATGATTTTCAGCTGCTCCTATGGGCTCACAGCGCCTCCCCTATTCAAAACCATGCCTTATTTTCTGATTGATTTAAAAAAAAACATACCAAGATATTAGGACAATGGTGGGTAGAAATATTCTCCCTGATACCAACAGGCTGCTCACTGTCTAGCCAGTGGATGAGAAGGGAGCAGGAGACAAATGCAGTCTGTAGGCTTTCTTCCTGCAGGTGATGCTCCTCTTGATCACAGCTCCTTGCCACCTTTTATCTAAAACGGTCTTAGACATGGAGAGCAGCGGGTTATGATCAGGACCCCTACTGACCCAGGCTTGCTCATTGTATGGAGTATAGCTGTATGCACATGAAGCCTTTTTTAAATTTTTGTTGAATGCTTACAGACCAGCCAAGAAAAAGAGCCATAAGCTGCAATATTCAACGCAAGAGACCCTAGATTTAGACTTCCCCCAAATCTCCAGACAGGATGGCATGGGTGAATTGTGAAGGATCTAGGCAGTCTTGAAACGTACTCAGTTGGGAATCCGCAGAGTATCACTATGATCACTCAAGAATCACTATCTTGGAAATGTTACTGCAATGAAGTTTGTTCAAAGTTCTGCACCTGAGCAATGAAACTGGCAAATGAAGCCCATGTTTACTCCCAGTGACCAATCACAAAACAGAAGTAAGCTAATTTGCAACATGTTGAGTAAATCAAGCTCATGCTGGGGTAAAAAGGTTTCTTTCACCTCTTAAAGGAAATCTGCTTCTAATAACAGACTATAACATCTAGTTTGAACCTTGGTATATAATAGACTCCTATGCCTGAAGGACTTTATTCGTTTCTTTATTAAGAACTCTTCCAGACCAAGCAAAATTTCCACCAAGATTTCTGCCCAACCTTCCTGTTTAAAAGCCACTTTTCTTCCTACAAAAGCCACTTCTCTATTAAGAAAATTTTAAGAAATGTATTGGGGTGGGGGAATCAACTACTTCGCAAGACCCTTTGGTATGTCTGTTTGTTTGAGTGCAAATTGAAAGCTTCTGACCTAGAGGCTCTCACCAGTCGTAATGTTAAATGGTACAAAGTGTTAATGGTACAAAGCAATACTAAAAATAAACCATGCTATCAGGAGGGATGAAAAAGTCATTGAAAAAGGTCACACTATTGGGCGAGACAAGAGAAGCATCATATGGATGGCAGGAAAAATATTGATTAACATTAACACCGATAATCAGTATAAGAGGGAACAAATGCTTCCTCTAAAAGAGTCCTGAATATATGAGAAGAGGGTCTTTGAGAATAGCCCGCAGGTTTTCAATGCAAAGGAAAGGCAATATTTTCACATGAACAACCATTCAATCTTCTAAACCCCAACCAGCTGGGTGTGAACTAAGCAATAGTGCAAGATCATTTTAGTTCAATCATGTTTTGGTCAAAAACGTCTTCTACTAGGTATGACCTTGACATAGATGGGAAATGGTGCTTTTTCGCTGAACAGTTGTAGGTATAACCAGAAACCAGAGCTCAAAAAAGTTACTTTTTTTAAAAAAAGGGGTCGAGCTTTGACTGAAACTAGAAAGATATCTAATATAGCCTAGCCCAATTATGGCTCCACATTTTCTTTAATACCATCTTAAGATCTTGATAATGCAGAATTCACAAGTTCAATACTGTACTAGCCTTTCCACCTTGCCAACAATTTTGTACATTGTATTCTCGAAGGCTTTCATGGCCGGGATCTGATGGTTGCTGTGGGTTTTTCGGGCTCTTTGGCCGTGTTCTGAAGATTGTTCTTCCTGACGTTTTTCCAGTCTATGTGACTGGCATCTTCAGAGGACTGGAGTAGGAACTCTGTCCATGCTCTGCTGCTGTTTGTTGGATAGTTGAGTATTTATAGCTGTGGGAACAGCTTTCATCCTTTTCAAGAGATAGAGTGATCACCGTGTTTTTGTTGTGATAAGGGGGGAGATTATCTGTCACTGTGATTGATGGGCATCGTTAGCTGGTCTTTTTTGTGCAATGATCCCTGGTCCTTGTGGCTGGGGAGAGTTCATTGACCTTTTGCAGGCCGTATTTTTCAGTATTGGGAGCCAGGCCATGTTTAATTTTAGGCTTTCTTCCCTGTGCAGTCTACAGAGACTGGTGAAACGTCAGGAAGAACAACCTTCAGAAGACAGCCAAAGAGCCCGAAAAACCCACAACAACCAACAATTTTGTACATCCTTGGTTGGTAGTAATACCCACATTGGATTTAAGAAACATGATGGCATTTCTGTTCAAATAAGAATCAATCTGGAAGTTGAGTTACTGGCAACTGGTCTTCTTTCTTGTTAAACTAAAACGTTTCGCTACTCATGCAATTAGCTTCTTCAATCTGAGTGATGCTACTTGGATGAGTAGCAAAACATTTCATCCTAACAAGAAAGAAGTCCAGTCACCATGACTCAACTTCCAGAGAACCTCACCTGGATGACTGAGAATCTTCACAGATGATAAGAATCAATGTGCACATATATCTCCAAAGGGCAAAAGTAAGAGAAAAGACTCCACTGTGTTTATAGCCATAACTGTGCACATAGGAGGACAGGGTTGTGACTTCCATATTGAAAAAATATACTGTGTAGCAAACATAGCTGATCCCCAATTATCAATTTTGTGGGCTTACATCTGGTGCCGAAAAGGGTGGGGGAATCTTTGGTTTTTTTATGTTTTTTTTTAAACTTCACTCAGCTGTTCTCAAAACCAAATCCCAACATTTTCTAGATAATCTAGAGTCTTCAATCTCAACATGCACTTGTGAACTATGTAAAAGATACAGCATCTGCCAGCCCAGATGACAGAATGTCATGCACAGGCGTGAAAACATCTGTGTTGTTAGATGTAAGTAATCTGATATTTGAATCGGGGGTTTTGTTTGTTTTTGCTTTGCACTATAATATGCTTCTTTTTTTAAAAAAAATGCACAATTGCCTGTACAGTAAAAATATGTTTGGCTCTGGGAATATTTAACTGTAAAAAAAAAATTTAAATCTACAGTGGTCTTTATTTGTTATAATAATATAATTCTTTTTTTTAAAAAAATTTGCTGAAGGATCCCAGTTCTTAAATGATACTTCAAATTTGTGTGTGGGAGGTGTTTGTGTGTTTTAAGCAGAATGATAACCTGATTGTGGAAGGAGATGCTTGCATTCTGTGTATAGCTGTGTCTAACATGGCAAAGACTGGATAGTTTGTTTGGCTTTCCTGTGTTTTTGTTTTCTTTAAATGGAGCTGATTTCGATGATAAATATTTTAAAAGATGTTAATAATATTTAAAAGGTGAGGGTCTGCGCCATATCCCAGCCCTACTTGGTTGTATCTTTGTTGTGAAATGTAACCCTTTTCCCTGCCCACATTTTGTCTTTGGTTGTTGTTGTTTTTGTTTTGTTTTTAAAACATGTAGCACTTGTAACTAGCTGGGGCATAAAGCCTCCTGCAAAATTCAACAGTCCCCCCCCAAAAAGCTTGGTAAAGTCATGGTAAACTTTTCTTCATTCTTGAGCAGACTCACGTTGGCCCCAACTTCATGGCCACAAAATGGCGTCCTATCTGGTCAGCCTTGCCCTGTGGAATGCTGGGAGCTTATTCGGTCGGTTGGCATAGCAACATCTTTAGGCCTGTGTTCCTCTTTTTGTCGAAGAAGAAGGATGGTCCATGTTCTTTATCATCTATCCATTATTGTCTTGTTAGGTGTCACATGTATCCATTTTAATGCCTTATGATGTGGAATAAATAAATGAATGGATATCCATTGGTAAACTGCTTCTTGTCTGCTGAATACTGTCTGGAGATGCTCTCTCAGTTGAAGCAAATGGAGATACCTGCACATTTATAGGTTCAACTACTTGCCAAAAAAGGGGGGGAGAGG